GGACTTCCTGTTGGGTTTAGGGCTTGTTGCTGATTGACTTTTTTGTGCGTCCTGACCTGCTACACATCTCCAGCGAATCTTGTAGCTGTAGGTGAAACAACCTTCTGACAAGAGTCAGCTGAATTCAAAAAACACTGTGAAAATGGACAAAATGGCCATTGATCGAAATTGGACGGGCCACCATTTCCAAACCGGGCCTTTGAAGAACTTTTAGTCACCGTGTCATGTAGTTTGTGCCTGCCAAATGTCAGGTGTGTACGACGAACCCCCTAGGAGGAGTTCCATTTAGAAAATGGCCAAAAATGGCCATTTTTCAGCAAAAATGAAATGAATGGCATGCTCGCCGTTTTTCCAACATGGCGGATTTCCTGTCAAGTTTACAGAAACATGCTAATGGACTTTTTTGTGCGTCACAAGTTGTTACATATGTGTAGCAAATGTAGTAGTTGTAAATCAAACATAGCCCCAATGGGAATCTGTTGAAATATTGTAGGGTTGAGCGTGTTGCATTTTACAACTTGGCCCAGCCTGACTTTTTTATTCATCCTGACCTGCTCTATATGCCTACAAAATTGCGTAGCTCTAGGCCAAATGTGCTTTTGACAATTTAGAAGGTGGCGCTGTGGAGCAATTTTTCTATTGAGGTGTGTATTGTTCTTCCAAATTATAACATTTTTCACCGGGTCTGATGTACATGGCAATTTTGGTGAGTTTTCGAGCATGTTTAGGCCCTCAAAAACGCGTGTCTTTGGCACCAATAATAATAATAATCCGAGCAGTTCCAATAGGGTCTTCGCACCCTTTTGGGTGCTCGGACCCTAATAATAATAATAATCACAACGGTTCCAATAGGGTCCTTGCACTGGTGTGCTCGGACTCTAATCAATAGTCCACTGAGAAAAGATAAAAACCACTACAAAAGGCCAAAGGTAGTGGAGTTTATGACCAGTTTATCACAGTTCAAACCATTCATAGGAAGCATGTGTTCCTGCTAAACATGAGCTATTGTCATATCTAAGAATTCAGCAGGCTAACAGTTCACTGTGCCGGATACATCTGACAGCTCCAACCACTACAACAGATTAAACCAGTCAGTCTGTACCTGGGCCGGTCTCACATGTGATGGGGAACTGCTGCAGCGACGGCACCGGTCCTGCTCCGTAAAACTGGGTCTCGTGAACCCACCAGTAGGGTCTTTCCCCAAAAAGGACCCTGAAGAACCAAGAAAAAAAAAACAAATAGTTGTTCTTTATTTCTTTTCCCTCTTCTTGTGTTTCTAGTGTCGCATTTGATCAAGATTTACCATTTGAGCACCAAGTTGAGCCAGTCTCCCACCACGGCCACCCAGATGAGCCGGAGCCCAAAGTTCCTCCGCAAGTAGAACCAGATCGGGAACCAGCAGAAGAACGTGGTGTGCAGATCTGCCACCGTGGACGCCAGGTTGAATAAACCTTCGTACCTGCCGTATGTCCTCTGCAGGTGGACGGCCAGCTCGACCCCCCAGCTGTGGAGAAGATCCATGATGGCAGACCCCCGTTTGAAGACGATGCACCGAATCTGGGTTCTGTTTCGTCGGTTTGGCTGCTGCCTTTCAAACTGCTCTGCTCCTCTGTGATTCCCATTGGACTTTACTCAAGGCTAGCAAACTGTTGTTTGCCTTTGGGACAGTGCAGACAGGTTCCCTAACCTTTACACCCCTGAGGGCCCCTCTGAAATCCATCATTGCAGAATGCAGACCTCATATTTCTAGGAAACCCTTTTTTTCCTCTTTTACCTCAGATCAGTGAAGCTTCTGTTCCAACTCCAAGCCAGCTGCTTGTGAAATCCATCGATTCTGGCTCATAATTTATCCTTTTGCGTCATCGTTTTGCTGCTTGTGCTTGGGATACCCAGTGTGAGACCCATTTTAGTGAACTATTTGTAAAATGTGAGCTCATGTGTCCCCATGAACTACATCTATATGTCACAACAGAGCTGTAACTCACCTGCCAATCTGCTTTTTTTATCACCAATTATCTCCTCCAGCCTATCGTATAATCACTGAACTTCTTATGTAACCCACTGAAGGGTTACTCCATCGTCTCACTGGTGGGATGTTTTCACCAAATCATCAGAAAAATAATTACATAACTGACAAATTATTACTCAAGTGGAGGACGAAGAAGAACTGTGAGAAGAGTTAGCTTCACGGTGAGGCTGAAGCTAAGCCTAGCAGAGAGCCTTTCTCTCTGTTAACTGATGTGAAAGATAACCAGTACAGTAATTCAGTGACAAAGCTGCCGGCTGACGTTTCAGTTGTCCCGCTATCTTTTCAACCTGTTTGTGTGACTAAAACCTCCCCAAACTCCCCCGAGTGCCAGGGTTTTATGTCAGGTCCAAAGATCAGTGTGAGCATGCGTTCGGGTTGTGGGTCCCTCTGGTATAAAACCAACCAGCTGTGTCACTGACAACAACAGTCCTGTTTCGTCGTTTCGCGCATCACCAGACTGAGATTCCTTCCCTTCGCGACGATGTTTGACTCAATCATGGACGCTCTGCAGGGCTTCGGGGTGAGCAGCACCCACTACCTGCAGACTAACTACAAAGACGCCCAGGGCTTGTTTCTGTGGGTGTCCTGGGCGGCCGACCTCAGGAACACCTTCTTCATCTTCTTCCCGCTGTGGTTTCACCTTCGGGCTTCGGTGGGCATCAAGCTGATCTGGGTGGCGGTGATCGGAGACTGGCTCAACCTGGTGTTCAAATGGTGGGTCCAGTTTAACCCTAAACCCTATTCAGGACTTGCATGTTGCCATACCGTGGGATCCATTGGACCCCAAGAAAGAATATATGCAAAACATGTGTTGGTATTCCTTATAGACGTTTATACTACGTTAAAAACATTTTCTGATGAGTTGATGTATTTTTGGTTGCATGACAAACGTCTCTCTATTCATTTAAACCAAATGACCCGGGCTCCACAAGTCCTGAACAGGGTTAAACCAAGCAAAATGACGCTAAACGGTTCTAAACGCTAACCGGGCGCGTGTCTTCTGCAGGATTCTGTTTGGAGAGAGGCCGTACTGGTGGGTTCATGAGGCGTCTTATTACACAAACAGCGTCGCTCCCCACATCGAGCAGTATCCCATGACCTGTGAGACCGGACCAGGTGAGAAACAGCACTTGTACACGAGTCCACGAGTTTCTACTGGAGTGCTACCAGGCTGCAGGTTTGCAGCGCAGTGATGTGACTGAACGCAGGTTAAGTTCAGGGTTTAGATTTGGACACAGATGCATTAAAATCAGGCAAGAAAGCAGGAAAAATCTCAAGAACCTGATGATGCCAGTTGATCATTTATTTAAGTGTCGCGCTTCATATTGCAAAGTAAACCGACAGTCGGTTTCCTCACAGTGAACCAGAACATGTTGTGTCTGGAATCAGTGGTGGAGAAAGAACTCTGAACTTTAACTGAAATGCTGAGTTCTGTTCTGTACATTTGTTAATATTGATGCTGCATTTAGTTTAGTTTTCAGCTCGATTTAATTAGATTATATTGAGTTGGTTCGGTTGCACAGATTTCTTACTTTTTTCTTCGAAACGTTGAACATTTTTGCTGTTTTAGATGTTTGTTAGTTTTCTTAAACTGTTGTTGTGTTGTATTTACATTGAATGCGGTTTTACATATAAAATGTTAATTTGAGTCTCAAATAATTGTATTTGAGTAAAAAACAGCAACTTTTATTTGATGGAATTACACAGAAACACTCAAAGTGCAAGTAGCTGAGATAAGATAAGAATCCTTTATTTCAAAGTAGCTCAAACTGTACTGCTTTTAGTTTCATAATTTGTCCAGTTAGAGATAGTTTTAATGGTCCTTTATTAAGGTAGTTTCCTTGATTTTTCTGAAATATTGGAAAGCTTTATGGTTATAATGATAAAGGTTTCCTAAAACTGTCACCTCAGAAACCTGTGAGTCCAGCCACAAGATGTTTTTGAGGCTTTGTGTTGAGCTTATTGTTAAAGTAAAATCTTAATCTGAGCTGTCAAACTGCTGTGTTTGAGTGAATAGAACCATTTTTATTTAGTACCAATCAAAGGAAACACTCAAGCAAAGTGCAAGTCGCTCAAAACTGTGCTGAAGTCGATGTTCACTCACTTCTTAGCTTTAAAACAACCAACAGGACGAGTAAATAATTACAAATCAAGACCACAGCAATTCAGATTTACAGTCATTTTAAATCAAAAATGTACAGAATAAAATGTCTAAGAAACAGAAGTACGGATATTGAGGTCATGAGCACAGAACCAGACAGCAGGACCGTCCTGATGGTTTCAGACGACTATTTCAAACATAACCTCCGTCTGAGTGACTCGGATCCTGACGTCTGCTCTCTGTCTCCCAGGAAGCCCCTCTGGCCACGCCATGGGCGCTGCAGGCGTCTACTACACCCTGGTCACCTCCATCCTCACCATCGTGACCAGCAAGAAGAAGTTCGGAGCCAAGAAGGCCTCCAGCCGAGACCGGTGAGTCCCGCAAGAAAAAAAAAAAAACACAACACCACCGTGCTGACGTCAGCGTTGTTTTTCTTCCACCCGGAGCTTATCATCGGGGACACACTATCTGCTCTGAGGTTGATCATTGACTCCTGAGAAATATGGAAAGTGGGAGTCACACGCAGGTTGTTTTGACTGAAGTTCTCCTGATAAACGCAGAGCATGTGTGTTTGCGTGTCCTGAATCTGGCCGCTCGGGCTTAAAAGGCGCGTTGTCTTTGAAAATCGGCCAAATGACACCTTTTATCTGAGCCACAAACAGAAAGAGTCGGCTGATCTTCATCCTTGAACTACTCATCTGTGATGGCGCTGTTGTGTTTATTACAGTCGCTTTATTCTGAATGGCTCATTCTTGCAACCGTGAAGCCGTCAGTGACTCGGCTGTGACTCGGCTGTGACGTGGTGAAAGCACAGGGACTTCTCAGATGAACTGCAGGATGTGTTCACAGAGAGGAAATAACAGTCAAATAAAATAAATGCAGCACAAAACCAGCACACAGAGGACGACAGGCTCAGCACAGCGACACCATCATGTGCATGGTGTGTAGAGTTTGTAAGAAGAGGTCCTGATGTTCTCCCGTCTTGGTGACGTCTGCAGGCATCTGGAATATGTTTCACCTGCTGATTCCAGTTTTTCTTCAGTTTTTGCACCACAAATCATTTCGCCGTGTTTGCTGTGTTTCCATAAGAGGTTCAGGACTTTATGTTGCAGTGAAAAACGAGCCCACAGTGAGGACAACATGTGCAGAAGCTGCTTTGAGTTCAGAGGATTCATTGTTATAATGCTTAGAAAGCTTTGTGGGGATCTAAATGTTGAGACGTTTACCGGAACAGAACAATCTGAGTTTAGTTTGTGTTTCCAGGTACCTGAAGGCCGTTCTGTGGACGCTGTTCTGGGGGGTCCAGGTCTGCGTCTGTCTGTCCAGAGTCTTCATCGCCGCCCACTTCCCTCATCAGGTCGTCGCTGGTGTGATCACAGGTCAGTGTGGACGCTTTTATTTATCACTTCAGTGACAACGGCTGGTTATCAAGCCTAGAGTGGTTCAATACTCGTTATTATCTGTAATTTAACAAAACTGGGAAATAAGTGAACTCCAAGTGAGCTCTGCACAAGAAGTCCAACATGCCTGGACGGTGTGTTTGTGCTAAAATGACAAATCCAAGATTATTTATACGGTGAATGCACCTTTTTAATGTAAATACTGGAGTTGGAGCCCTCCAGTCTCATCTAACCTACGAATGCAGCAGATTAAACGTGTCGTGCTCTCCTCAGGTATGATCGTGGCCGAGGCCTTCAACAGGACTCAGTGGATCTACAGCGCCAGCATGAAGAAGTACTTCTACACCGTGCTCTTCCTCACCTCCTTCGCCGTGGGCTTCTACCTGCTGCTCAAGGCTGTGGGCGTCGACCTGCTGTGGACCCTGGAGAAGGCCCAGAAGTGGTGCGTCCGGCCCGAGTGGGTCCACCTGGACACGACGCCCTTCGCCAGCCTGCTGAGGAACATGGGCACGCTGTTCGGCCTCGGCCTCGGCCTCCACTCGCCGCTCTACACCGAGACCAAGAGGAGCGGCGGCAGCGCAGTGAAGGCCGGCTGCGTCATCAGCTCCCTGGTGCTGCTGCACCTCTTCGACTCCTTCAAGCCGCCGACGCACACCGCCGCCCTCTTCTACCTGCTGTCCTTCTGCAAGAGCGCCACGGTGCCGCTGGTCACCGTCAGCATCATCCCGTACTGCCTGAACAGCGCTCTGGGCCGGCAGGCCAAGAAGGCCGTCTGAGCGGCAGCCTCATGACCCCAAAGACTCAAAGACTGGTGCTGATCTTCAGCAGATCAGATGAAGCCGCATGTGGTGGCGTTTGGACACTGAACTCTAAAAACGCTTTCCAGGACGGCCGGCGGCACTTACCAAGAACTAGAGTCCTGGAACAGAAAGTAGAGCTTCACATGTTATTTCAACAATGTCTTCTTGTTTTTTAATGTTATAGAAAGTATTTTTAAAAATGTTTGGAATATTTTTGAATAAAAATCTGAAAAACACACAGAATGGTCGTTATTCAAGAGGAAAACGTGTTCACAGTTTCAAAAAATAACATTTTTTCTGTACTTTTAACACATTTTCTAACTATAATTAATGTGCAAAAAGTAACTATAGTGTGAAATCAATAATAATCGGCGCTTGTTGATAAATACTTGCCTGAATACATGTCAGTTAGCCTGGCAAGCTTGTGGCGCCCCCCGTGGATGTCGGCGCTCTTAGCATTTGCCTATACTGCCTATGCCGAGGGCCGGCTCTGGGGGAAACCAATACATTACAAAAAAAAGCAAACAACTGTATCATGAAAAGAGATGGCAAGTGGAATCATTAACTCCGCTACACTAGCGTAGGGGGCGCTGTTCTCTGGCAGGACGAGCAGAAAATCGTCCATCTGTCTGTTACTTCTCAAAAAAGTTCAATAAACACCAGTTAGCTATAGTACTATGGAGAAGGAAACCAAACCGTGATTTTTGTGACATTACACCCCTCATATTCAGTGATCCGATAAAATAACAGTTTTTATTATTTATTCATTAAATTGATCTAAATGTCTGAGTGGCTCCGTTAAGTCTTTGTCAGAAAACCAAGGTGTGGTTTTATAGTTGAGTTTTTATTGTTTATAGCCGTCAGTGATTGTAGTTTTATGAGCTGTTTGTTTGCTGCACAACGGCTGATAAAAAAAAAAAAAAAAAATACGTGAATGAACTGTCTTCAACCAAGTCTCTACTTTCCTCTGTGACACCAACCTGTTGACCCGCATCAGTCTGGTTTTAAACAGGGTCCCTCTGCTGAGACTGCACTCTGCTGGAGCTGCTGGACAGTCTTCGGCTCTACTGCTGTTGGATCTTTGACATGGTGAAGCACAACATCCTCCTCTCCACACTCACTGAGCTTGACATCTCACGATCTGCCCTCCACTGCTTTGTGTCCTACCTCTACTTCACAGTATCCTGCAGGGGAGAAGTGTCCATATTGCACAATCTATCTACAGGGGTTCCTCAAGGGTCAGTGCTTGGTCCCCTTCTCTTGTCAATATACACAACCTCGACCTGCTGGCGATACCCAGCTCTTCCTGTCGTTCCCCCCAGACGACCACATGGTCTCTGATCTCATCATAACTTGCAGACATCTTGGCATGGATGAAAAAACGCCACCTTCAACTCAACCTCTCTAAGACTGACCTCCTTGTCATCCCAGAAATCAACATCCAGCTTGATTCAACCCAACTCAAACCCAGAAACTTGGGTGTCATGATAGATGACCAACTAACCTTGAAGGTTCATGTGGCCTCTGTTGCTCAGTTGCGTCGATTCATCCTGTACAACATCAGGAAGGTCAGACCTTTCCTGTCTGAACATGCAGCACAACTCCTGGTCCAAGCTCTCATTATGTGGTAAATGGTCTGCACTATGCAGAGCTTTTATCCAAAGTGCTTTACCATGTGTTTCTCATTTACACATTCATACACATTCATACACCAATGGCACCAGAGCTGCCATGCAAGGTCCTGCCTGCCATTGGGAGCAACTTCGGGTTCAGCGTCTTGCCCAAGGACACTTCGACTGTGGAGGGGCGGGGGATCAAACTGCCAACCTTGCGATTGGAGGACAACCTGCTCTACCACCTTAGAGCCACAGCTGCATTGCAACATCACACAGTGACCACTGCAGCTCCTTACCGGCAGGCCTCCTGCATCCACGGTCAGACCTCTGCAGATGGTCCAGAATGCAGCAGCACGTCTGGTGTTCAACCAGCCAAAGGCAGCACATCTCACCCCGCTGTTCACATCGCTTCACTGGCTTCCAGTTGCTGCCCGCATCAAATTCAAAACACTGACACTTGCTTACAAAACCACAGAGACAGCAGCTCCCTCCGACCTGAACCTTTTCAGTCAGGTCTACACTCCCTCTCGACCAACAGAAACCGCCTGATCCAACCACCGGAACAGGGCCGAGGTCGACAGCTGGACTCTTCTCCTCTGTGGTTCCCAAACTCTGTTCAATCTACTGACTCGGTCTCAGTCTTTAAGAAAAGACTGAAGACCAGCTCTTCACTGAACACCTTTGTACCTGACAGACTGAAAACAAACAAACAAACAAACACACACACAAAAAAGAAAATCCTATGACCTCCCTACAGCCTGCTGTTGGCATCAACGCCCTGTCACACTTTGTTCTATGTTCTTATCCAGGTTGCTTTCTCCTGACTAGATCCTGGCTTGTGTTGTATCTGCTCTCAGATGGACGTCGCTTTGGATAAAAGCTGCTGAATGAAATTGTAGTTTTTGTAATCAGTTTATTTGTTGCTTTAAAACCTCGATGAATGAAACACAAACTTGACCTAAATAATCCCACATCAGCAGGAAGCATTCAGTTCACTTCCCTTCGACCTTTGACTTTGTGGATCGTTTAAAGTTTTGTGTTTGTTTCCTCGTCAGCCTCGACCTCTTCCAGAAACCTCACGTCCCACTTCGGGTTCGTGTGAATCATTAACTCGGGTTTCAGCAGCGACGACACAGATCCTCGCGTCACCTCGAGTCCCAACGTACAGCCGGACATTCAATATTTGTGTTTTGCAAAACACACACACGTTAAAGATGAAATGTAACATTTGTCACAATAAAAGCGACAAAAAAACTTAACCTCACGGTCATTTTAATGCAATTAAACAGAAAGAGGTGCAGATTTAGAGACAACCGTTCATGAGAAGTTGTTTTTCCACAGTAAAGATTGTTTGTTTAGTTGTGCAGCTTTTCAGTCTTTCTCAGTTTGGAGCAAGTATTTATAATTTGTGTTGTGGTTTAGTTTTAACTTCACGTCTGCTCAGTTTAAGTATTTAGTTAATTTTCTCTTCTTTAATTTTCCTTCTTTTTTCTTATTTCTAATAATGATATTAACATTAATGATATTAACATTATTTTTTATTTCTTTTTAAATAATAAAAATTTATTTTTCAAATTATTTTAACTGTTAATTTATCATTATTTTTAACGCTTTGGTTGTGGCTAATTTCGTGTTTTTATTTTAATGTTTGCTTTCTGCAGTGCCTCAGACTAAAAAAGAAAAAGCTTTATAAATATATTTCTTCTAATTATTATTATTTCGAGTCATTGCATTTAAATGGGACACACACCACAATATAACCACTTGTAATATAAAATAATATAAAATAACACAGGATTTTATTATTTGGTCCAAGAAACTTTTGTGCCACACATTGCTCAGGAAAAATAAAAATATTAAAGTCAGATATCGCGCACAAAATAAAGGCTGAACATGAAAATGAAATACAGCGCATGAAAATATTGCACAAGAAAACGCAGCTTGAACTGTTTTACGTCAACAAAAGCTGGAGAATTAAATTCTAAACTGCGTTTATAGCGCCACCATGAGGCGTCAGGATTTATGACCAAACAACCTACAGAAGTGTTTATTTACTCTGGAGCAGAAGCAAACAGTCTGTAGTTTTTACTTCTCTGTCTTTACAGTAAAACAAAAATAAATACAATTATTTTACAGCTTTAGTGACGAAATCTAGATTTTTGTACATGAAACACATCAAGTGCTCATAAAATACAACTTTTTAAATCAAGCCGCTCTACAGTTTGTAGAAGTTGAGCTAAAATGTTTTCTCATTTCATTCATGAGTGCATTGACAGAAAATCAACTGCAGCTATTTAAAAAAAATTCTAAAAGAAATGCCCCCAAATGTCAGGAGGTTCCTCCTGGTTCTCTCATGTGAAGACGTGTTCCTTTTGAAATTATTTTAATGGTTTGAACTTATTGACAATAACTTTGCTGGTTTTAACAAAAACAAGCTTCGTGCTGCGACGACGTTCTCACTCGTCTGAGAGTTTAAATGAATTCAGTAATTAATCCGCTGTTATGTGACTATTCACTCGAAATCTTAACAAAGCAGAAAAAAATTAACGTAATGAGTGAAAATGCTGCTTTACACATGAAGACACGAGAATAATATGTTTTATTTATAAGGCGTTTTTCCAAAGATGCTGCACAGTGTCATACTTTTATAGATCAGTGCTCTAAATAGTTTTTTGTTTTTTTTTAGCTTAGCTCTAAATTAAACAACTGAAGAGAAGCTGAAACATCTCGTCAACACACCAATCAGCTGATGGACAGAAAGCAAATATTCTGATCATCGTTTAAGTCGTTTTTATTGATGAAATATCACAAATTTCATGACTTCAGGTTCTTAAATGTGAAAATGTATCGAGTGTTTACTAAAATAATGAAAGTCACAGTTTAGCTCAAATGAAAGTTAAACTATCATCCAACTGATGGTGTGAACTAAATGTTTAAATCTAAACTGGACCTTTTTCTAACCCAAACACTTTCCTCAGAGTCAGAATAAACCACCTGCGTCCTGCATTTATATTTGAAGTGAGAAACCAGACGGACTCGTTCAGTTTAAACACAATTTATTTTTCTGCTTAAATAATTACTTGGATCATCCAGTGTAGGCTATGTTGGTTCGTCATACATGTTGGTACCAGATTTATCATCGACAACGGATGCTCGGGTGGATTTGTATGAAAAAAAGAAGACAAAAAAAAAAAGAAGAAGAAGAAATACACGGGAACAGAAAATCACATTTCTAACAACGTGTAAAATCGACGGTTGTGATTCGAGTCGTTGGTACAAAGAAGTTTTTTTTGTTTTTTTAATGAGGGGCTAAAAATGGGATTCTCTGTTCTGGTGTAAAGAGTCATCAAAAATAACAACAGTCCCCTTTTGTTTTTTAAAACCACAGTCGACCTAAAAGCCTGAACTTCTAGTATGCATGATGGTTCACGGGTTTTATTGGATGCTAATCGAACACGCACACACACACACACACACACACACACACACACACACACGGAGGGCTGCTAGCGGCTCGAGCTAACGAAATGTGGCCGGTTACATTCGGGGACGCCGTTCTTTGCCACACTTGGCTTCGGAGTGCGTTTCCATCGGTAGAAACTAAAAAAAAACCC